TCTTAATTCCTGAAAACTGAGCATAGTTTCATTTCTAAATAAATCTCCCACTTTACTCAACCCTTTTGATGCCCAAATTTTAAATCCAGCACCATGTGTCCCTGGTGTAAATTTAGTTACCCCAAATAGGGAGATCAGTTGTTACTTTTAGAAAAATTTAGAAAAAATAACATGTACTTAATCGCAAGCATGTTAATTATTCCTGAGTAATTCTCACTCCAGGCAGGGGCGTAAATTTCATCTGACAGTTGGGGGGGACAATAAACATAAAATTTCTCAAGAGCAATTTTTGAAGGGGACACAAATAATACAGCAAAAATTTTACTTGTAAGGATATGTCAAGTCAAGTCACCTTTATTTATATAGCGCTTTTAACAATACAGATTGTGTCAAAGCAACTGAACAGCATTAATTAGGAAAATAGTGTGTCAATAATGCAAAATGACAATAGTAAACACTCATTTTTCAGTTAAAGGCAGTTCATCATTAATTCAGTGATGTCAACATCCAGCTCAGCTCAGTTTAAATAATATCTGTGCAATCAAGTCAACGATATCGCTGGAAATGAAGTGTCCCCAACTAAGCAAGCCAGAGGCGACAGCGGCAAGGAACCAAAGCTCCATCGGTGACAGAATGGAGAAAAAACCTTGGGAGAAACCAGGCTCAGTCGGGGGGCCAGTTCTCCTCTGACCAGACGAACCAGCAGTTCAATTCCAGGCTGCAGCAAAGTCACATTGTGCAGAGGACTCATCTGGCTCCTGAATGAATCACCTGTTTAAATGATTCGGTTCAATCTATTTATAGTTAATTATGCACTGTAACTGTAGAATTTGAGCTAGTACATATATAGGTTAATTAATAGGTTAATTGTCACTCATGACAAAATGTGTTTTAACATTTTTCTTCCTTTTTCTTTCTTTCTCTCTCTCTCTTTTTGGTCAGACATTAGGGGGGAAAAAATCAATTGCGACATTATTTTGGGGTATTTTTTCGCTAAGCTTAACTAGGTGATATTTTGCTGTGTGTGTTTTTGTGCTGGAACCGTGGCTGGTTTTGGCCAGTAGGTGGCAGCACAACTCTGTCTTACTGAGTGATTAATTTAAAAACACAGATTCATGCGAGTATGAAACATGTCTCTCGGAGACAAGCAACAGTTCTTTTCCGGCTTTGTTTGGATCTATTTGTGTTGGTGAAACAAAAACAGACAATAGTGTGTCCAAAATGTAACTCACTAACGCCACTTTAGCCTCCTCTGTGGGAAACGCGGATGGTTGGAGGGAAACATAGAGTGAACATTTCGCCAAAAAAAGAACGACATAATTGGGGTTCCCCGGAATAAAAGGCTGGAGGTGGTAGCCGAGGTTCATTGGTGCGGACAATCGGACCCACCGAAACCGGTGGATGAGACATGGCTGGTTGCTGAGCTGAACCCCGCTCAGCTTTCAGATGCTGGATCTGGGTGGTGAGCTCAGACCGCTGACTCACCAGGGGCTGGAGGGCCCGCCCCGTGGCCATCATCTGATCTTCCTGATGCTCCATGCGAATATTAGTTTTGGCCAAAAAGTCTCTGAGCTCTGCCGCACTCGCTGGATCCATGAGTATGGTCGGTTCGTTCTGTCACGGCAGAGAAGAGTCAGGATCCAAGTGCGAGTGCAAAGGTAAGGTTTATTCAGTAATCACAATAACGGAGACACAAAGAGATAATCCTCGGGTCCTGGTCGGAATCAGAGCTCCACGGAGAAATCCCTTCAACCACTGCGTTGGACCAAACCAAGGAGAAGGCTGAAGATCCGTACCCTGACTGAGCGAGAACTGGAAACAGAGAACTGACAGGGAGACAGGAACATGAGAATAACGAACCGACAAACACACATTGAACAGAGTGTCCTATAAAGGGCTCGCTAACGAGTTGCAGCTGGCATGCTCTGATTGAGCACCAGCTGCAACCACTAACGAGTGACGTACGCACATACAAGCACATGACAAGACGCAGAAAGACCGTCCGGACCCATGAACCGTGACAGATAGTTCATATCTTTTCTCCTGATAGAACTCTTGTGTTCCCTAATTCTTTGTTTAAGTTGACGTGATGTTTTTTCAACATAAGCTAAACCACAAAGACACCGAATCAAATAAACAACATGCGTAGAAACACAGGTAATAACAGAGTTAATTCTATATTTTTTACCGGTTCTTGGATGACAAAAGAAAGACGTTTTTGATGTATTATTGCACTGAGCACAATTACCACAATGATAATTACCATTTGGTATAGGGCTAAGTAATCTCTGAGAAGAATCAGGGGGGTATTCCAGAAAGCAGGTTATGTGACATACCCGGGTATGTTGGAGGATAAGCGATCGGATAACCTCAGCTTTCGGTTCCAAAATCGGAGGTTACTTTCAGTGTATGTAAGTAACCATAGCAACTTGCTCTCTGAAGATAACCTGCTTCAGAGCAGCTTCTGTTCCAGGGTTAGTTTGTTTCAGAGAGGTCACTCAGCATGGCGTGCCCTTTTGATGACGATCCTGTGGATGTAGAAGCACAGATTATACTAGGTTTTTTGCACCGCGAGAGGGTGATAAGGCCATGTATCGATGTATTTTCATATCCGAATGAATATTTGCACGAGCGTTACCATTTTTCAAAAGATTCGTTAATTTTTTTAAAGAATCTTTTGAAACCTTACATATCAAATGTGACGAACCGCGGGTCAGCGCTTACCACAGAACACATTCTGTGCATTGCTCTTCGTTTTTTTGCGACAGGGAGTTTTCTATAAAATGTGGCCAATACAGAGTATGTGGGAAAGGCAACTGTGTGTAGAGCCGTTCGTACAGTATGCCTGGCACTGAAGCGGTTTCTACACACTTTTGTACTGTTCCCTGGCCATAAACCTGTGTGACATATTAGTTACATACCATTACTTGCTCTAAGCATACTGCACACACACACACACAGACTTAATTCTTTAATAACATAACTTTAAATTTCAGGGTTCCCAAATGTGATTTGGGTGCATTGATGGCACCCACATTCCTATTAAAGCTCCTTCGGTCAATGAAGGAGACTATGTTAATGGGAAGTCTGTCCATAGCATCAATGTGCAGGTATCAACTGTTTTTTCACTCCTCAATCTTTCGGTGTTAAAAGCATTAAACTCATCACTTGTCCCCACTAACTAGGTAATATGTGATGCAACCCACATCATCACTAATGTTGAGACCAAGTGGCCAGGGTCTGTGCATGATGCCAGAATTTTTAGGGAGTCATCGTTGTGCCACAAATTCCAACAGGGTACGTTTTGCTCTACACAGTGTTTTTATATTTTTCATTACATTTTTATTTGTACACTTAAATCATTATAGGACACTTCAGTGGTTACTTGCCGGGGGACAGAGGGTACCCTTGTTCGCCTTTTATGATGACGCCCTATCCTCAACCTGAGCCTGGACCACAGACACCGTTCAACCTGGCCCACAGCAGGACACGGCCAAGGTCGAGATGACCATAGGCATCCTGAAGGCAAGGTTTCAGCGTCTGCGTGGGCTGAGGGTCAGTCCAGAGAGGGCATGTGACATCACAGTTGCTTGTGTTGTCCTTCACAACATTGCCACAATAAGAGGAGAGAGCCACCCCCCTGCACTTGATGAAGATAGCCTAGAGGAACCCCAAATGAATGTAGCAGACCAAAGAGATGGCAGAGTGCTAAGAGACATTATTTGTCAAAATCACTTTATTTGAATGGTTTGCAATGAAGCATTGTTTATGTCTTTGCTTTATAAAAATTGAATTTTAGTCATTGCTTTATATACCATTTAACACCAACTAACAGATCAGTGTTCACATACAATTCCCACCTTTAGGCGATGCTCCAGCATTTCTATTTCAAGTTGGGCCTTCTTAAAGGGATAGTTCACCCAAAAATGAAAATGTGATGTTTATCTGCTTACCCCCAGGGCATCCAAGATGTAGGTGACTTTGTTTCTTCAGTAGAACACAAATTATGATTTTTAACTCCAGCTGTTGCAGTCTATCAGTCGTATAATGCATGGCAATGGTAACAAAATCTATGAGAGTAAAAAAAACATGCACAGACAAATCCAAATTAAACCCTGCGGCTCGTGACGACACATTGATGTCCTAAGACACGAAACGATCAGTTTGTGTGAGAAACCGAACAGTATTTATATCATATTTTACCTCTAATACACCACTATGTCCAGCTGTCTTTGTGCGCGCGCACGGCATCCGGTGCGTGAGGTGTGTACGCGGCTATGCCGTAGTTTACGTTAACGGGTGTGTTGATATCCAGCCGAAGAGCAATCAACCATAACTTCAGGCGAGCAGGCTCAGAAGCTGGGAATACGTGGAAAGTCACCACTCCCGAATGAGCTCGCGCGAGAGAAAGTAATCTTTTAGTTTTAAGTCGGTTGAACAATCCGGATAAGCGCAAGTAAGTACCATTTTGATTAGCCGTTGTACCTACAATGACTGTGCACTGTGTAAACAATGAGTGACGTATACGCGCGAGAGATCACTTCCGGCGCTTGCGTAAACTACGTCAGAACGCGTAGCCGCGTACACACCTCACGCACCGGATGCCGTGCGCGCACAAAGACAGCTGGACATAGTGGTGTATTAGAGGTAAAATATTATATAAATACTGTTCAGTTTCTCACACAAGCCGATGGTTTCGTGTCTTAGGACATTAATGTGTCGTCAGGAGCCGCAGGGTTTAATTTGGATTTGTCTGTGCATGTTTTTTTTTACTCTCATAGATTTTGTTACTATTGCCATGCATTATACGACTGACAGACTGCAACGGCTGGAGTTAAAAATTATAATTTGTGTTCTACTGAAGAAACAAAGTCACCTACATCTTGGATGCCCTGGGAGTAAGCAGATAAACATCACATTTTCATGTAAAAGGCCACATTCTGTAAAAGGACAAACACATTTTGTTTAATTCTGTGTAAAATGAGGGGAATGCATTATATGATATGCATCATACCTCTATGGGTGTTCCATCATTTTCTATTTCTGTCACAGCAGACATTGTCTCTTCATCTACATCCTACAGTGAAAATATGAAAGTATACTCTGTCTGTTTAACAGAAACTAAAAAATCCAAACGTACCTAATGGTACCAGACAATAATTACTTACAACTGTGACAGACTGTGTGGTTTCAGGAGGGTCCAATAATACTGTACATCCATCAGTAACTGCAAGACAATCAAAGCAATAAGATTAGCTATATATATATATATATATATATAAAAAACCCACAAAGACATAAAGAGCATGCAAGGGTACTAAAAATAAGATTACAGTAAACAGCATAAGCAGTAAAAAAAAAAAAGCATGCATAATGTACAAGAGAAACAATCATTAAGTGCATTCCAAATGCCTTTAAGTGTCAGCGTAGATAATTTTTTACTTGGGACTTAAAAATTACAATAAATCATAACTGCTACTGTGGTAAACCTACATTTCAGTACATCACTATTGTGGGAGGCACAGTCTGAAGAGGTTCCGTGTTTGATGCCGTCAACCACAGGCCGCCCTTTATTAAGGGACAGAGCCAACTCTTCCACTGGGGTGAGGGGAGGTGGTGGTGGGCCCCCACCAGTTAAGCGTGCCTCTGCCTTCTTTCTATTAGCTACACAGGACAGATAAATACTCTTAAAAAAAGAAGGGAAAAAAACACTGAATACATAGCTCCTGAAACAGGTTATTGAAATATTACCTTTTGGAGAATATTTTTATGTTTCATTTTGACTTGCGACGGATTTCTTCTGGCTCCAGAAGGATTACACCTTATAAAACAAGTAGCCAATATGTTACTAATCAATATACATCATTACTGTAATATTTAGAAATTAATGGCTGGAAAAGTAAATGCTTGTCTAGTTATACAACATATTAAAAAAGATCAATGTTCAATTTTGCATTATAATAAAAGGGGAGAGGGTAGCATATTTAGAAGAAAATGTAAAATATGTATTATATACTAAATATATAACAAAGAAACTCACGCATTTACTCTGTCAGTTATTCACGGTATTTCTCAGTGGATAATTTGATAGAAGTCAGAATGGAGTCAAAAACAACGGGGGGATGTCTTCTTCTTCTTCTTCTTCTTATATTTTTACGGCGGTTGGCATCCAGCGTATTGGTGCATTACCGCCACCTTCTGCTCCGGAGTGTGGATCAGAAAATAGGTTGACAGACTAAATCACCCGTTCTCCCACCTCTATCCCGACACATACATACCTACACATGCACACCTCATCCCAGCCCTGCTTTATAATAACATTAACAACAACAACAATAATAATACTTTACCTTCCTCACTATTCCTTTAACTCTTCATATCCTATAAAAACCCCAGTTACTCTTAAAAAGTTTATAAGAATTCTGGTCTGTGCCCTATGCTCAAAAAGACTGACTGTGTCTTTTCTATAGAAAACCTAAACCCCCAATCATATCCCCACTCAACCACTTTATCAATTGCTTCCTGTATTTTCCTGCTTGCAAATTCCATATTCCTACCTCTCTTCCACAATGCCCCATCATCTGCAAATAGCGACCTTCCTATATCTTCTGGAACTCTACCAAATACATCATTGATCATAATTCTAAAGAGTAACGGACTTATCACACTCCCTTGAGGTGTGCCATTTTCAGCTGTATATTGATTTGACATGTCTGTCCCAATTCTTACTTGTATTTTCCTTTCGAAAAGAAAATCCTTTACCCAATTAAACATCTTCCCTCCAACCCCTACCCTATTCAGTTTGATCAGTAACCCCTCCTTCCACATCATATCATAGGCCTTTTCTATATCAAAAAATACTGCTATTACATTCTCTTTATTCACTTGTGCCTTCCTTACTTCAGTCTCTAATCTTATCACAGAATCTATTGTATTTCTTCCCTTCCTAAAGCCACTCTGACAGTTATCCAATACTCCTCTTTTTTCAAGGTCATGGGTCAATCTATCTGCTATCATCCTTTCCATGATTTTACATAAATTTGAAGTAAGAGCTATTGGTCTGTAACTAATAGGTTTTGTAGGATCTTTACCAGGTTTCCTTATTGGAATCACTACTGCTTCTTTCCAGGTAGTTGGTAATTTTCCCTCCTCCCATATTTTATTATACATCTCCAGCAGTTTCAACAGTCACTTTTCCTTCATTTGCTTTAACATTAAGTAACAGACTTGATCTTTTCCTGGAGACGTAGGCTTTGCTCTTTTAATTGTTCTCACCATCTCTGCTAAGGTAAATGGATCATCCAATACATTTCCAGTTTCTTTCTTCCTATTTAACTCATGAAGATGCTGACTCAAGGATACTGATCTTCTCCGTCTCCCTTCTTCTGACAAATTTTCTGAACTATGAACCATTACAAATGATTTAGCCATAATCTCTGCTTTCTCCTTGTTTGAAACCGCTATTTCCTCTTCAAATGCCATAACTGGGTATTCCCACTGCCTTCTGTCTCCTCCCATCCTTTTTATCATTCCCCACACTTCTCCCACTGGTGTGGTTCTTCCTATTTTGTCACAAAATTTCCTTGGCGTACTGTTCTTCTAACTACTGCTTGAGTCTTCTTATACTGAATAAAATGTTGCAAATTATGAGTTCTTTTAAGTATCCTGAAAGCTTTATTTCTATCTATTACCGCCTGATAACACTCTTTCCACCATGGCACCATCCCACCATGGCACCATCTTTCGACTTATCATTTTTCTCCCCTTAGGGACAGCTTCCTCTGCTGCCCTAATAATTGCAGAAGTAACCTGTTTATTAACTTCATCTATGTCCCCATAGACCTCAACCCTCATCATTGCATAATCGCTACATTTCTTAAAATTATCCCAGTCAGCTTTACTAAAATTCCATTTGGGCAATCTATCTTCTGGTCCCGCTTCCAATCTTCCACCCACTGAGCATAAGACAGGGTAGTGATCACTCCCCACTGTGGATGCTGTCCAGACCTCCCAATTACTATTTCTAGCCAGTGAATTAGACACTAACGTTATGTCTAATGCTGACTCAATCCCTGTTAATACATTTATTCTAGTTCCTCTACCATCATTCAAACAGACCAATTCTCTTTCATCCATCAGTTCTTCAATCACCTTACCATTTGCATCTGTGTGTATACTTCCCCATATTGAGCTATGGGCATTGAAATCTGCACACCAGATAACTTTTGGTCTGTCTTGCCCTGCTATTCTTAGTAGCTTACCTAGTTCCAACTTCTTACAGGGGTTGTAGTAATTGATAATACTAATAGCCTCTCTCCCTTCCCACACCTCCACCATTATATACTCCTGATCATCACCATTCCCCAGTAATCTATATGGAATTCCCATCTTAACGAAAACTGCACATCCTCCTCCACCCTCTCCATAATTCCTATCTCTCCTAACTACTGCATATCCATGTATCACATAATCCAAATTTGGTTTCAACCAGGTTTCCTGAATACACACCACATCTGGTCTCTCATCTAGCTCATTAATAAAATGTTTAAACTCCTGTCCATTGGCCAATATACTCCTAGCATTCCATTGTAAAATTATAACCATTATTATTGTTATCCAACCCATGATGACTCTTGACTTGACTGATTTGTAAGGGTCTCCCTCACCTCTTCCCATGACAGTCCTACTAATCCTAGGTGATTGACTACAACTTTAACCACCAACTGGATTTTCTCATTTTTGGATTTAACCTCCACTGTACTATTTATCACACCTGATATGAATGTTACCAAATCTATTTTTTTCACAAAGATTCCTTCAAAATTAACTGTTGCACCAGTGTTTCCGTATCCACTTTTTGCTCTTTATTATTCTTTTCCCCTGATACCTTGACAGCTTCAGCATATGTGATTCTTTTTTCCACTCTTATCTTTTGGATATTCGTCTCTCGTCTCATTACTTCACATCCACTAAAAGCCACATTATGGTCACCACCACAGTTACAACATTTTGGTGGTACCCCTGACCCAAATTTTTCATATTCATGGTCCCCTCCACACCTTGCACATCTTCTCTGCCAATTACAGTTTTTTGCAATGTGACCAAACCTTTAGCAGTTAAAACATCTCAGTGGTTTTGGCACGTACACCCTCACTGGGTAACTCATAAAACCACAAAAAACTTTCTTTGGCACTATCTCTTCTTCGAACTCTATTAGCACTGTTTCACTGTCCTTTACCACCCCATCCCTTGTTGATTTCATTCTTTGAACATTTACAACTTTTGCTCCCTTGATATTCCTCTTTATTTCCTCC